AGCATATGGAGATGACACTATTACTTTTAAGCAAGAGAAATTTTATTCTCTGCCATAAACATCACAGTAAAGTAAAAAACAAATAGAGGGGATGGAAAAGACACAGCAGGAAAAATGTAGAACTTCCCTCATTTAATTCACAGAAACTAAGCCAAGGGCAACAGCTGGCAAGTGTACAACCTACAAGTACGGCACATGCTATGGTAGGCACCAGACATTTTCTTTAGACACGCTGAAATCAGTATATCAAGAAACTGACACCACAGTTTGGGGTGTTCTGCTATTACAAGATCTTACCACAGAAATGTTTATCCAAAATGACAGATTAGTGCCTAAAGATTTTTTTAATAAAAATAAATGAGAATTATCTCCACACAGAAGTAAACAGTCCAAAAAGCAACTGTACTACTCCAAATTCAGTAAGAAAGATTTTTTTCCCTAGCAATGTAAAATTTTTTTTTTGAAGGGGTGGGGAGTGGCACACAGGAATAGGTTAATATGTGAAATGAGAACAAATTTTTATTTCATGGACTTATTAATTAATTACAGGTTGTTTAGACATAAAAGATGAAGACGAAGTATGAGAGTGGGTATTGCATTAGCATTACACGTATGCTACTTATGTAGTTTCTATTAAGAGAGATTTATAGACTTCTGTCATTTTGAACCAGTTATTTGCTCCACAAAGTTTACAGAATTTTGGACGTGTGTCTGCATAGCAAAGATAGTTTTTGGACAAGTAATGCAGGCCATGCACGTGACACTAATATCACATAGCAAAGAGATGAACTGAAAAGGAAAACTGAACTTCTAGCAAGCTCAAAACTTGACAGTAAGGCAAGTGTTTATCAAGGGTCCGGAACTCTAGGTTTGGACATGAATCACCCTCTAACTCTTGCCCATATTCCTGTGTTCCACATGAGTCCTGGCAGAGTTACTTCAAGATGAGTAATCACTCCTCTCTTCCCAAAGACAGCCTCACTTAACAGTTCGTTAATGCAAGCGGGCAAACCAAAAGGAATCCAAATCATGACTGAAAAGACAATCACTGTGCTAGGTAGTCAAAATGAAAAGGCACTAGTACTCAGATGCACGAGTAACAGAGCAGCATGCACAGTGATAAGCTACCTTGGCTAGGATGCCATAATTATGATGGCATGCAGCCACTAAATGATAGCAACTGGAAAGCTTACCTTCATGTAAAGGGGACCCAGTATCACATGGGATCTGCCCTTTGACCAGTAGCTAGCAGGAGAGCAAGGGCCCCCTGCAAGAATGGAGCCTTGGTGTTCAGAAGTAGGCTCGACTCAAGGGCAGCATTTTCACTACATTCACATTTCACTACATTCAGCTACTGAATAACTTCATATTAAATACACAGTTGGCAACCACAGAAAAACCTTTGAGTCTCCTGAAGGGTTCTGTGGTAGACAGAAACTTCTACTTCAGCAGGGCGCAAAGGCACAAGCCAAGAGTGTAAGACCCTTCCCGCTGAAGTAAAACAGTTTCTGTAACAGTCAACCAGGAGACAGAAAATAAGGTTTTCAGGGAAAGAATATCAAATCACCAATATCATCATTATGTAGGTCCCTGGGTGGGACACCAGTACGGTGTGAAAGAAGTGCACTTCCAAGTAAGTACAGTACTATAGAAAAGCAGTGAAAACATACCAATTCATAATACAACTTGAAATTGCATTCAAAAACTATGAAGAAAAAAAAAAAACACCCTGGGGTATTCCAGCAGCTTTGTTTGGTCATTTCAGGCTAAAAGGCATCTTGGGTTTCAGATTCTAGGGAAAAGACAACTGCAAAGTATCAAAATCAGTTCCCATCAATGGGCATATTATTCTTCCCAACTGCAGGAAAACACAGAGAAACTGATGCAGTGATGTTTACATCCAATTCATAAGCAAGAGCCTCTTCATTCAATACTGTGCTAGAAACTACCCTGTGCTGAAAAACTCAGCTCAAATACTATAAAAAAAAAAAAAAGATTTCAGGACACAGCATGGTGTCTCCAGCTACAGCAATCTACCTGCTAAAGGAAATCTGCAAAACCAAAAACATATTCATGGATTCCAAACAAGACTCACTTATTACTGTAACACTCTTTTCAAACTACACAGCAGCTGTGTATAGGGATACAAAAGACTTCTTACATTATAGCCTATATCTATGATCAGGGCAGAATTATGAGGTTCAGATAAAAGCCAGTGATATTTAAGAGGAAACCTTGACTCTATTAACATTAAAAAAACCCCAATTCATAAGGTTGCAAGCACTGTTTATATGATTAGACAGTAATTACTATTTCAGATACTTCTCAAATCTTACTTGGAAGTCACCTGAGTTGAACGACTGCGCCAACAGGAACAAAAACTAATTGTTGCATTACATTTTGGTTTTGACTGTAACTTCTTTATGATAGTCTGTGTCTTCATTTCTTATTCATGCATCCAGAAGTAATACAATGAGCCAATGACCACTGCGCAGGAGTGCAGAAATCTTCAAGTTATTGAACATGTATATAAAAGATCACTGAATCAAATTAAAGCTTCAAAGGTTCCAATTTTTTAATAAAATTTTGATTTGCTGCAAGCAATTATTCAAACAAATTACTGAAAAAAGCTCTGATTTAAAATAGTACCTGTTCATACTTGTCGTTACAGAATAGCAAAGTACAAAAAAAAACACAAAAAAATGTTCTTTTCTAATTAAAATTATATTCCTGTATTTACAAACTGATAGACATACCCCGCAATGACACATACACATAAAATGTCAAGTAAATTTCCAAATTGCATTTGTGAGAAAACAGAAGTTCACTTTCAACCATTTCATCCCATTTCACCACTGAAATCACTTTCAACCATGTGTGAAAAATTAACCAACGTCCTTAGCCAGTTAGCTTGTACAGACTGTAGGACTTGTCAAAGTAAATGAGCGATTTAAATCTTCTGAATTAATCTAATTTTACTTTGTTGCAATAACAACAAAAAAACCCCATGTACACACTGTACTCTCTGTATTAGTGGGACTATAGGGAATCTTTGCCTGTAACACTTTAAAAGAAGAATGGCAGCAATTATTTTTAGACAGATTTGAACTACAAAAACCTAAGTGACTTTTGAACTACACAACCATTTTCCTGTGGAGGAAAGTCAGCTATAACCTTGCCTTTTGTAGGGACAAAGGTTTAGTAAACTAAACAAAATGAGGAAGTGATCTTTTGGTGATTTTTAAGGCACTTCTCTGGAATAAAAAACAAATTTCCCATTATTTTATTCTATAACGGAAGAAGATGATTCTTCTATCACTGTCATTCTGCATTTTAAAATTACTAACTGTACAATCATTAAATAAACCTTACAGAAGAATTTTCAGGGAGCTCCACAGCTTTAGGTTTTAGATGCTTTGACTGTATATAACGTTTGGGAGATTCTCAAATAGGTATTTTGATGATAGTTACGAAGACACTTTCCTCCTCTTTATTAATGCTCATGAGTTAGTATTAGACTGTGATGGGGGGGGCGGGAATCTATCAGGATTCTTTCAAGCTAACTTTTAGTAGCTTACTGCATCTCAAACCCAACATATTCTGCATACTTTCCAAAACCTTCATGAACAGAGGAAGGAATTCTGCAAGCATACCAAGATACCTCGATTTAGGAGTCTGATACTTGTTACAGTCAATTAAGGTCTAACTAATGCCTTCAAAGGCACCTAGAGTGTGTGATTCAGCTCATCATAAATTAAGTCAACTAAATTGCTCTCTAAGCTCCATTGGCAGTACTGATTAGCAATTCAAAGGACCACAGTGAGTTCAGGAGTTGATGTACTTGTTGACACTTAACCTGAACTTGAGAACACAAGTTCCATCCGCAGTTTCCTAACTGACGTTAAGCAAAGAACTGAACCACAGCTCTGAAAAATACTGTTTTGAAACAATTTTCAGTACAGTATGAGAAAACAGAAGGGGAGTAGGGGATTACAAAAAGCAATTCCTATCTAAAAAGGTATGCTAAAAGCCTCCAAAAAATTTTTAAATTATTATGAGAGCTATATGAATTAGATAAATGCCTTTTATGCTTTTGTAGACTGAAAGCCTAGATTCTTTAAGGACCAAAGTAGATTATCTCATTTTCCTGGGAAACCTTGTAGAAAAGTGAAACCCTAAAAAGGCACACCACATCAAAAATAATAGATAAACAAGAAAACCAACCTTATTAATGAAGAAAAAACAGGCTTTGTTTTTCAACAAAATATGCATGTCTGTGTCAGTATCTACTCTGCCTTCCATCTCAGAAGAAAGAGCAACAACACACAATACAGCCTCACCTTCCATGCAAGGCTGTTAAAATTCCATATATTCACCTCAGAATTATTCTGTTTCTTTACACCAGACTTCCTACATTTGTAATGTATATAGACTAGATTACAAAGCATTTAGCAAAATGATTTTGATCTGAGTATGTTTTAACTTTAAAATTTCTCTGTTTCAAACTGTCAGAGAAAATTATGATAAAGTTCAAGGCTAGCTATTTTCACTTATAATTAAGCACAATGGACAATTCCTTTCTCTCTTCCTCCCCATCTCTCTGCCTTTTTAGCACAACAGAAATATAGGCAGAAGACACTTTCCTTTTATAAGACCTCCTATTCTCATGATCTTATGTTACGAAATCAAATTTGTACACTGAAATAGGCCAAGACAAAAATACATTTGAAATCCTAAAATCCTGAAATTACAATCCATAGCTCCAGTATTTGCACACTGTAATTCATCTTACAGGTATCTGCAGACCATATCTTGTCCCATAGTTGCGTATATTTGCTTTGCTAAAGTAGAAGATGGATCTTCACCCCTAAAAAAGATCCATGTGTTATTACAAAAAATTACCTGACAGATTTCAAAGGCTTAATTTCTTTTTGAAGTCAAAACTTTAGTAAAAGCAAAACATATGCTTTCCTCATGCAGTAAGAGGGTAGTTGTATTACCTTCATGCACTGTTATTCCACAGTTGTCACACTGGATTATTTCATCAGCATCTTCACTGTTATCTCCAAGACAAACGCAACAAATCAAAATATGGTCCATTTTCTGGGAACTCCAATTTTGAGACTTCTCAAGGATCAACGAGTCCTAATATTGAAAAACGAAGACATATGGATTATGGCAGGAATTTCAATTTTATTTAAAACAAACAAAAGATTTGTTATTTGTTTAATTTTGAACAAACAAACAAAAAAGATGGAAAATTATTTTCACAAGACTAAAAGCTTTTTCGTTGTCAAAACATTTGAACACTTCATACACAAACACAAAAGCTGGGAAGAAGGATGGATACAATCTGATCTTAATATACCTAGAGAGCTGTTAAGATACAAAGGTCAGAGAAGGGTCTTATTTCTTCAGAGAGAAACATGTATACCTTTACACCAATTATGTTCTACAAAAAGGAACAAATGCACACACCTAAGAAATCATTTAAAAAGAAAAAAAAAGTAACCTTCAAATGCCCCAGTATTCAGAAAAGTTGTTTCTTTTTGTTAAAATCTGTACCTTCCAAAAAACAGTCACATGAATCTGAAAAATCTGAAAATAAACAGCTAGCTACAAACCTGACAAGTATTCGCTTATGTAAAATATAATAAACTATCAACTCAGTTCTACTTTGTTTTAATGCAAATTTATACAGCTCTATGCAAAACCATACAATTTTAAAGCTGTAAATTTATTTTCTTCTGATTCTATGCAGGAGTAAAGATCTGAACACTGCTATGTTGAACTAAAACATTTTACAAGAATGTGGATTTTAACAGAGAATTTCTCTAAGGAAAATCAGAGAAATGCTTCACAAACAAAATAAACCTGTATGTAAATTTTAATTTTTTCATAAACACCATTTAGGCTTCTTAGTATTTTTATTGTGAGGTACAGCCACTGCCTCTTCTGCAAAGTTTCACAGCTTCTGTACGCTTTCCTTTATTTTTATACTAAAACACTGAGCTTGAACTACCTTCAATGTTGACAAGAATTGGGAATAGGGAAGTCTGAAATTAGGCACACGAGTAAAAAATAATAGTTGCAGGATAAAGAAATAGTAGTAGTTTCACAGCAGAGGCTGACAGTTTAAGCCTAAATGGCATCCATCAAAATATCAGAGATCTGAGAATATTCCAAAACTTCTGTGGTATCCTACCAGTAAAAAAAAAAAAAAAAAGTGGAAGATGCCTTCTCAAACATTTTTCTTACTCCAACCCCCATTTATGACATAAAATATAGCAACAATACTGTGCCTGTGTAGCCTAAGCAGATACAAGGTATCATGAATCCTATCTGAATAGGTATTCTTCCTCAAGGATCTTAAATTCTCACACTCATCTATGCAATTATTTCACGATAGCCTCTCAATCTCATAGAGTCAGTCTCCGCAAAAATTCCCAGTGAATCATTAATGAAGTCTCTTAGTACTTTAGGTTTACCTGGGCAGGTATTTGTGAATCTTCGCTTCATTTTAAAGCAAGATAAAGTGGTAAAATTACCTTACCACCTAAAGTTCAGCTCAAATAGTTTACCTCAAGTAACAGAAGTGGGGGGTTTTTTTGACCTAGGAAAGGTCAAAACCATATTTCTCGCAGCTAGGAAGGGCTTCTGGATCTCCCATCCATTTTCTCTAAATGTAAGGAAACATGGTCTATTAAAAAAACCCTCATCTACAAAGAAAAGTGAAAGATCATACAGTCCACACAGTCATGCTTGCTTATAGGAAGGCCACTAATTATGAAAATTACATGATTCTCCCCTACTGAATTCAGACTGAGAGCATTTCTTCCAACATTCTCTTTTTAGGATAAAGCTGCAAAGCATTTTGAGGAAAGCAAGAAACTTGCACTTTGTTTTTACAAATATACTGTGGCCCATAATTACTCAAAATACCCACATTTAGCTTATCATTCACATTACAGATAGGGGGTACATACTGTCATTTTCCTAAATCTGGCAGATTAATTGTGCAGTGGCACAGGCTCTCAGACACATCTCACTACTCTACAGAAATGAGCTACAACCTCAAACTATTAGTTTAAATTAAATTAACAGAATTGCACTGTAATAACAACACTGAAATAACACTAGCTGCTTACACAGCGAGAACATATGCAAATACGGGGGGAAAAAAAAAAAAGGCAAGCAGTGATGGAAGGGCATCAAACTTGGATTTAATGTTACGATCCCCATCCATTATGTGAAGACAGCCAAGTCAAATAGAGCAGCAGAATAACTTAATTTTCTACGCAGACATGGAGAGGGGGTGATCTGGAACATATGCTGCTCTCCTCTGCTTAGTCCATGTAAGCACCTGAAAGACCCCATCCCAGAAGGTGACCCTACTTGTCTAAAGCATGGGAACTTCTATGTAGATATGGTAACTACTGCCAACTCCTGAACAAGTGCTGTTCCCAAATTTCTGTGGTGTTAATGAAGAAACTGAGCATTTGAATCTATATGCCTATATACTTATAACTTTAGGGGGAAATAAATAAACAAAATAACCACCTCACTAAGAATGAAAGAACCCCGTAAAGTCATAGCAAAACAGAAAAGCGCCATTTATCTACTAATGATGCTTGACCCTAGAAAAGAAAGCAAAGTTTGTCATCTGTGCTCAATACAGCAGGAAAGCACATTGTATTTCATTATAGCATGGGTTAAAATACTGTATATGCAGACCTCAAAATATTTTTGGCAAGTGTAGAAATATAAAACAAAAATCACACAGAAACAAAAACCAACCAACCCCTCCCAACACACCCCCCAGTATCCACTCACAAAAAGGAAAGTAAGAATGTGTATTAAGAACACTACTACATGTTCAGAGTTAATTACCTGAACATTCTTCATAAATTAATTATGCATTCAGACATCTGTTTTTTCCAAGAACTTAGCTTCTGCAGTATAATAAGGTTTTGCTAGACTTGTCTGCTAGACTGGATTTTACTATTTCTTTTTTATTATTTTAAAATATTGTAGTAGTGGAGAGTACACCGTTATAATACAGTTGGGTATGAATCTAAAAATTACACACTATAATCCAGTCTAAAAGATACTCACTGTTGCAAGACTTCTGTCAAAGACCTAGTCATAAACAGTACTTTGCTTTGCATGCAGTAAAGATAAATTATCAGTTACAAAATTACAATTTGAAGCTCCAATTTTCTTATTTTGATTTTATCTTTTGATCAATGTCCTAAATCCAAGACAAGAACAAACTCAGAGGTTCATGCATATTAAGAAGCTCTGCAAAAGATACATCAGTGATCTATCAATGGAAATTAGGGATATGTTCAAGAATATAGCCCTATGAAAGTAGACTCACATCTCCATTCTGATATGGGAAACAACTCTGAAAGAAAACTGCCTATCTCTATTTGAAGTTTTGATCATCAGTATTGGTAGAGCACTTACAGCTCCTGAGTCAAGAGAATATGAGTGACACCAGAATTACAGAGCTAGACAATGAAAGATGATGTCTATACAAATAGTAAAAAAGCCTCCAGAATTATGTTGGATCTTTTTTTACCCAATCACAGTTATTACTAGTAATTAAAACAGCACAGCTCATTCGCAGTCATACATATATATACCTCTATATCATACATAACAGTATCTGAAACAGAGACAACTGATTCTTCCTAATACTCTGTTCAGTTGTGTCATTTTACACATTAAAATAAAGATTAAATGGAACAGCAGAACTTTAAATATTGTCCTACCACTATCATTCATCAAATGTTATGCTGACATTGTAATTATGTCCTGAAAACTGAATGTACATTTTACAGCAACTCTTTTCAGTTTGTTCAAAATTTTACTACTGCAAGACATGAAGTCAACCATCCTGACAACCCAGTATCTTAATTTTTCCACCGGCATAACTTTAAAAGCAACTGTAATTGTGTGCAGGAAGAAATAGTCATGTCATTAAACACAACATATAATTTTCATTCTCTGCCATTATTTTAATATAATAATAATAGTTCCCAAATGCTTTTTAGTACTGTAAGAAATGACTTAATTTCTGAAAATTATAAGGAAACCCAAGATAAATTATCATGGTTATCATATCTGATTTTAAATCCAATGTGCATATTTCTTTACTTAGAATTTTTCTATCAGTGAACTCAGTGTTCAGACTTCGATGTTTGTCACAGAGAAGGTCTAGGATCAAGAATAACCTATCATTTAGCCATTTTATGAATATGTCACAGATGCTTTTAACTTTTAGAACATTACAGATATGCAACATTTACACTAAACCAGAACTAAAAGTCTTGCTAATACATGCTGATTTTCATAGTGGACCTCTAATTTCCTTTGGAACTAATCCAACCCCTCTAAAGCCAAGTCTCTCTATTGACTTTAGTAGCATTAGACTGGCCAGACAGTCCCAACAAGGTTACTTAATACACAGGTCTTATTTAGCATAATTTTGCTCCTTCGCTTATGCCTGTAAATAAAATTACATCCAATCAGTTTAACTTTTCAAATTCCCAGAACAGCTACTGGGCAGTAGTTCCATTTGTCAATACATATATTATAGAAAGTTGGTTGCACTACCTCATTACTCTTGCTTTGTGAAAGAGCCAGGCTATCATTTGTCAACTCCTCATCATCTGCATTATTCCTGTTAAGAACTTTACTCTTCTTCTTCTTGGATCCACCATCACTAGCCGTGCTGCTGTTATCTTCTTCATTACCTTCCTCATCATTGTCATCCTCATCACTTCCACTCCCATCATCATCATCCTCATTATCTCCATCACTCCCCTCTTTTCTCAGTGTGTTTTTTCCTTTTTTTTTCTCAGCAGTAGGCCGCCAGTCATTGTCATCTTCGCTGTCATAGTCATCCATATCATTTAGTTCTTCCATTGATACAAAATCCAGCAAAGGTCGGTTCCTGCGCAAATTCCATTTTTTTGGTTCATTTGTTTGCTCATCAGCCGGAGCATCAGGTTCAGCTGCTTTCTCTTTCTTCTTTTTTGGCTTGTCGTCTTCATCTTCTTGTTCTTTCTTTTCAGTTTTAACTACCTCTTTGTCTGTTGTCGGAATCTCTTCTTCAGTGGAGCTTTTTGGTTGTTGTTCCTCTACTTTCTCTTCTTCCTGTTCCTCCTCCAAGATATTTTCTTCTGATTCAGTACAGGAACCTTCACCACTGTCCTTTGATGCGTCTTCACTCCCATGACCACTTCCTTCAGAATCTGTTGAGCATATGAAAATTTAAAAAAAGTTCCGACACAAATGTACCCCCAAAAATAAAATCTGTTGAAGCAAGTTGTTAAACAAAAGTGATGCATGTTCCTCCCTCATAAGGTATTCCACCTATTTTTTCAGCTGATGTCCAAATACTGCTATTTTCAAGTGGTATGTTGAGAATCTGTTAAACATGAGTGTATTTTAAGATGAGGGAAAAAAGGTAAAATTTATTAAATGAACAGTAATTGTTCCTTTGAAGTGCAGCTCATTAACAATACACAGTAGCACATAATTTCCATGTGAAGTCACATCTTAAAGAGCATTCCAGTTTTTAATTTCTGGAGGCATTTTCTAGATCTTCAAAATAAAAGAGCTATCCAATAGAAGAGATATAAAATTACAAAATGAAGAGTTTACATAACAAGTACTAACAATAGTATGGATAAACCGACACCTTCCTTTTTAGTACAGGTTTGGTTTTCTGGGTTTGAGGGCTCTTATTTTTCCATGTTATTTTACTTATTAATCCCATGTAAGAGATGCCTCATTCAGTGTTGCAGCTGCACAACAATGCATAAATTCTACCCTTATACTACTCATATGGCATTGTTCTGTCTGTAGTCACTATTTCCATTAATTAACATAGGCCAATCTGTGCAACAGAAAAGAGCTTTTTATGAAAATTAAAAAAAAAAAATCACAAAAATAAGGCATCTGTACTATTGCGCACATGTAAAAAATATTGCAAAAGATGACAAGTGGCATTGTTAAATTTTATAAATATCATCCAATTGACTATCTTGCATCTTACATTCACCTACTTTTCATTTACAATATTATTTTTAATCAAGAAAAACTCAGAAAATATTTTTTTAAAATAAAAAAGAAAATAGAAAGTTGCTTGATCCTATTCAGGGATCAATTAGGCAATGGCTACAGTTTTCAGTTTGTTCAGACAAACTGAGAGTGTTGAGAGCGTTGGGGTTGTTCAGCCCTAAGAAAAGAAGGTTCCAAGGACATCTTACAGCAGTCTTTTGATATATAAAGGGGACTTACAAGAAAGAGAGACTTTTTACAAGGCCTGTAGTGACAGGAAAATAGGAACTAGCTTTAAACTGAAAGAAGGTAGGGTTTAGATTGGACATAAGGAAGAAATTTTTTATGATGAGGGTGATGAGACCCTGGAAAAGGTTGCCCAGAGAAGCTGTGGATGTCCCACTCCTGAAAGTGTTCAAAGCCAGGCTGGATGAGACTGAGTAACCTGGTCTAGTGGAAGGTGTCCCTGCACATGGCAGGGGGTTGGCCTAGATGATCTTTAAAAATCCCTTCTAACCCAAACCTTCCTCACAAACATTTTACAAGTGACTCTCATACTAGACATTTACATTATACATTAAAGGCAATATGTATGTTTAAAAGGAAAATGCATTTTTGTATTTCATTTCACAGGTTTTGAGTGCCAATGTGAACTACTTGTCTCTCTGAAAGTTACTTAATATTATCTTCTTTAGTTTTGTTTCCTCACTGTAACACCATACCATTCATTTGTTTGGATGTTCCAATTGTGCTGTTCCGTTTCTAAATATGCTTAGATTTTTTGTGAATTCATTTTTGGGTGTATCTTAGTCTGGGTATAGCTTGATCATTAACTGCACTCTAAATTACTAACAGTGAATCTTGTACATCAATACTACAACACTGAGGACACTCTAGTGGCTTTATGCCATGAAAACAATATAAAACAGAGAACAAATAAACATTACTTTGATTCACTTCCCTCCTTCACACTCTCTGCCTTCTACCTGCACATGATGATTCATGCTCTTTTCTGCATGCATGTACACACCAGAGATACCTATAGCAAGGGATATCCCTCTTCTGTCTGAATGCATCCACTGTAATAAGTACTTTCCTACAAAGAGCTGCTCTGTGATAACAGCTATTTTTGCAGGTGTTGTTCTGCCAGCTGCACTTTCAGTTAGGAAAAGGCTGTAGCATACAATTTTCTCCTTGAAAGAAATCCTTAAAGAATGGCTCTCTCAAACTGGCAACCATACCATATTATTCCCTATGGGAGAGAAGTCAGGCTACTCTCAGTGAAAGATGGGGCCAGATACACTATCAAATAGTGAAGAAAACAGAGTTCCAACGAGAACAAATAGGAGAGAAACAGTTCTGAGAAAGGCATCCCTTATTTCGGTACACCGTGTAACTTCAGCTCTACTACTGGGCACAACGGCAGATGGCAGTCAGATCTGAAGAGGGTAATCCTGAGAACCATCCAAGACAGAACATTATGCTCCAGAATTAACATAAGAGTAATAAAGAAACAAAAGTGACTCCTCATCTCCACCTCAGCTGTGGAGTCTTGTGTAATACATACTATGCACACAGCTTCAGAGGAAAGCTACTGAAATCACTACAGCAGTTAAAAAAATTCTCCAACAGTTTTGTAGGACCATTTTACAACCAACTTTAAACATGGTACCCTGTGATTTCTTTACCATGATTTATTTATTTTACATTCTAAGAAAAATCATGTATACAGAGAGTAAGTGCTACACTACATAAGCACACAGCCAACCACTCGCAGAAGATAGGCTGGTTCTTCAGTGCAGTATTTAGTTTAACAAGCAGCTCTGTAAAAAGTAGTTCTATTGCTTGTTTTTAAGTGAAATCTAAAGCGCTTGCCTCTTCCACTAACAAAGCCCAACAAACTTTTTGGAAAGTTGTTTTGATTTTTTTGCTGGTGTTCCCCCTGCCCTCACCCCTCCTCCCCCCTCCCCCCCCACATGAAAAACTGAACATGCAATACCGAACACAACTACCACATCTGAAGTTATGTCTACTAAATAATACTAAATAATAATGTTTGGTAATACATAGGCATAATTTGCAAAGTCATCCAGGCCACAGCGTGCTTTCACAATGCCTTCTTTTCGAGAGCGGTAACAAAAAACAGGCTACATGTGAGGTTAATTCTTGTGGAGGTTAAAGCCACTTGAGCACCACTCCCAGCCTCTTGTTCCCAACCACAAGACAGACAACAAATCTTTGACATGATGAGGTGAAATTACCCAGGTATCTCTGTTAAAACATCATGTTACACACTATATACAATCCTTCATCCTGGTTGCCTGCATCCTGACAAGGAAAGTGGAAAACACTGCAGGAAGTGTTTGTCAGCAAGAGCCACTGCCCATAAAGTTCCTTACCGCAGCTGCAGAATCAAAAAAATTCCTTTACCTATGTGCTATACCAAACACCTACGAGAGGTGTTAGGACCAGTACTGTTCAACAGTGGGACTGAGTGCACCCTCAGAAAGTTTGCTGATGACACCAAGCTGTGTGGTGCAGTTGTGATGCCTCCAATGTAGAAGGGATACAATCCAGAAGGGAAGTGTGGCCAGCAGGTCAAAGGAGGTGATTCTCTCTCTCTACTCTGCTCTTGTGAGACCCCACCTGCAGTACTGTGTCCAGCTCCGGGGACCTCCACACAAGAAGGATATCGACCAGTTGGAGCGAGTCCAGAGGAGGGCCATGAAGATGATCAGAGGGCCGGAGCACCTCTCCTGTGATGAAAGGCTGAGAGAATTGGGCTTGTTCAGCCTGGAGAAGAGAAGGCTCCAGGGAGACCTTATTGCAGCATTCCAGTACCTGAAGGGGGCCTACAAGGGAGCTGGGGGGGGACTTTTTACAAAGGCCTGTAGTAACAGGGCAAGGGGTAACAGGTGTAAATTGAAAGTGGGCAGATTTAGATTAGATATCAGGAAAAAAATCTTCACAGAAGAGGGTGGTGAGGCACTGGAACAGGTTGCCCGTGGATGCCCCATCCCTGGATGTCTTCAAGGCCAGGCTGGATGAGGCTTTGAGCAACCTGGTCTAGGGGAAAGGGGCCCCGCTTCACGGCAGAAGCGTTGAAACTAGATGATCTTTAAGGTCCCTTCCAACACAAACCATTCTATGATTCTATGAAAAGCAGCTGCACTTCCTATACAACTGATCTAGAAATTGCAAATAATTTTAAAGACTCCAAAATACCTTAAGGAAATACTGAAACTAACTTAAAAGTTCCGATATTAATAGCTGGATATAAAAATAAGGCAGGAAAACTTCAATCATATATGAAAAATATGAACTCTTAAACTGCCAAACGCAGCATTGTACAAATGGTAAATTCCTGATCACATTTGTCTATTAGACTAAAGTCACAGAGGTCCGTTATGCTAAGACCAATATAACTACACTGAAAGCAAGAATTGAAAAGGCTTAATATTTCACTTTCAACATAACTTCAAAAACCAGCATCTAACATCAGTTAGATGTACACCACTGGCTTCCTATGCTATTTTGCCAAATTGCTAGGCTGATGGCAATTCAACTTTGGTAATGTCAGCAGTTAAAAAGACCTGAACTGACCAAAGTAACAGAATTAAGAACATACAAAACAAAACTAACGTAAATTAAGGTATTACTGCTCTAAGGAGAGATTTTAATTTCTCAAATATTTTTTTTTAAAAAAGGTATGTAAACTCTGTATTAACTGCATATGTAAACTGGGCAGAGTAGGACATGAAACTGATCCATGATTACACCTGTTTCAGAAGTCAAGTATTTAGTTCAACAGGGAAAAAAAGATGAATATAATGTTGTTTAGTAAGCCATTTCCTCACTTCCGTAGTAGCAGTAAATATTACACCACATTTAGTAGATGTGTATTCAAGTTGTAAAGGCAACCTTTAGTTTTGAGTGCTAACTTTGATTTGAGTCATTAGAAGCTGCTTTATTTATGTTATAACACAGATGGTATCAGTTACCCTAGCTCCTGAATTTGCTAGACATTTCCCAGTTTCAGACACTGTCCTGAACAGGTTTTAACATTATCAAACTTCCCTTGTCTGGGATGAAGTACTGCATGCCCCATAGCTTCGCCCAGAAAAGCTACAGTCCTCGATAATCCTTAAAATTGGATTCTAATACAAATTATTGCACTGTGAGCTAGAGT